ATTTGTGATGTTGGTGTTGGCACACTGCTGTTAGGAAAGGGATTATGGAACATTGACAATGTGACATTAAGGAACAGGAATGTACTTTCAAGTCAGGATGGTGTATGGCCTGGAAGGGAACTTGCAGATAGTAGTGTACCATTGTTAAAATTTTATGGAAATATGTTTTGGTATTTATATTCCATAACACTTGTAGTGAAAACTTGAATTTGAATTTTTTTATACATTATTAAGCCAAGGCTGCGTCTTCAAAGCTCCTTGAACCCTTCAAGTTTCTCAAAACATCCACAATGATGAGCTGACTTCCCTTTAGAGTACAATTATTGCTATTATTATTTCAAGCCAAAATACATCATTATTGACATTGGCTGTTATCTGCAATTTTGGAGTTGACAGCATAATTATTTCACAAATATTTCTTGATAAGATTAGTATTGATATCTTATTTACCCTGAATCACCCAGTACAGATTGTCCTCACAGAAAATAAGCCTCAACCAACAAGATATTGTATTGCTGGGACCAGTGTCTTGGCAAATCAAATAACTCGGGCTACAGAGAGCTACATGTCCTTCAGAGGGTTGGTGCAGACTCAATGGGCCAAATGGCCTCTTTCCGCACTGTGGGGATTCTATGTTTCTATGGTATGTAGGCTGACAAAGCAAAAGAATATTGCAGCATGGCAGGGCAGCTATTGAAACCCAGAGTAGAAGCGATAGAGTGTATAAACATTTTTTTGAAAAGCAGCAAATACCGTCAAATAGGGATAAAATACCAAACACGCTTTATTTAAATGTGCATAATAGTTGGAACAAAATCAATAAATTAATAGAACAAATAGAGGTTAATGAGAATGATCTTATGCCATTATGGAGACATAGTTACAAGGAGGGGAGGTGATGGCATAGTGGTGTTGTCAGTAGACTAGTCATCCAAAGACCCCAGATAATGTTGTGAGACTAAAACAAAGAACTATGGATGCTGGAGATCTGAAACATACAAAAACAGAAATTGCTGGAGAAACTCAGCAGGCCTGGCAGCATCTGCAGACCAAAGGATCACTTCTCAAGCAGGATTACTAAACTCGAAATGTAAACTCTGTTTTCTGTCCATGCTGCCAGACCTACAGAGTTTCTCCAGAAATTTGTTTTTGTCACATTCTGGGGGGATCCAGGTTGGAGTCCCACTACAGCAGATGGTGGAATTTGAATTCAATAAAAATCCGGAATTAAAAGATGACCATTGTCGATCTACATAAAATCCCAGTTGGTTCATTAATGGCCTTTAGTGAAGGAAATCAGCATCCCTACCTGATCTGTGTCTCCAGACGCACAGTAATGTGATCGGCTCTCAACTGTTCTCTGAATTGGCACAGCAAGCCACCTATTTCAAGGGCAACTAGGTATGAGCAACAAATGCTGCCTATATCAAATATATAAAAGGAGAATGTAGTGATTGGCATGAAGGCCAGATGGATCCATTGAGTATGAGATCCTTGATTAGGGCTGTTAACCTGGGCCAATCAGGGAGCCCTGGCTGACAGATATAAACAGGGGTCTCAGAAATTCTCCTCACTCTAGGGACTGGCTCTAAACTAGCTGGTCAGAATCCATGTACTCTGCACCTGTAAATAAAGGGTAACTTGGTGATGGGATACCAGCCTCTGTGCTGTTATTTCAGAGAACAAAGCTGGAAACTAAATATTCAGGACTATGTGACCTATCAAAAAGAAGGAAATGGTAGCCTTATTAGTATGAGTTGGAATAAGTATGATAGCAAGAAATGTTCTTTGATCAGAAGATGTAGAAGCCAGAATGATGGAGATAAGAAATAACAAAGGAAGAAGGTACAGGTGAGAGTAGGCTATAGGACCTATGTCAGTAGCTATACTGCAGGCCAGAAAATAAATCAGGAGATAATGAGGGAATGTAAGAAAAGGCAATACATTAATCATGGTGACTTTAATGTTCATGTAGATTGGAAAAATAAAATTGACAAAGTTAGGCACAAGATGAAATTCGTAGAGTGTACTGTGTTTGGGATAGTTTCCTATAACAATTGTGGATTCTAGCAGGGATCAGGCTATTTTGGATCCAGCAATAAGTAATTAGGCAAATTTAATTAATAAACTCAGAGTAAAGGATCCCCTCGAAAACCGTGACCACAATATTGTAGAATCCAGTATTCAGTGTGAGAATGAGAAATGTAGATCAGAAACAACCGTGCAAAACTTAAATTAGGGTAATTACAAAGGAATAAATGCAGAGTTTGCTGGAGTGGACTTTGAAAGGAGATTAGGGGAAAAACAGTTGAAAAACAATGGTAGGCATTTAGAGAATAGTTCAGGACTTGCAATAAATATTTGTCCCAATGAGGAAGAAGGATTCTAGAAAGGGGATAAACCAACCATTATTAACCATAACTTAAGGATAGCATCAAATTGAAAGAAAAAACATATTTTGTGGCAAAAATTGGTACAGCCAAAGAATTGGGAAAGTTTTAAAAATCAAGACCAAAGAGGAAAAGGGAGAAAATCAACTTTGATTGCAAATTAGCCAGTAATATAAAAAAGGAAATTATGGGCTACTTTAAATATATAGAAAGGAAGACAGAGGTCAAAGTGATGACAGGCTCCGTAGAGAATGATGCTGGGGAAATGGAAATGGGGAATCAGGGAATGGCAGAGGAGTTTAATAAATATTTTCATCAGTTTTCATGGCAGAAGACACTAGTAACATTCCACAACCACTAAATAATCAAGGAAAAAAGATGGGGAGAGAAATAACTATCACTAGATTAAAAAGTACCAGGGTAACTGGGCTCTGTACCTAATGGGTTACATTCTTGGATATTAAAAGAAGTAGCAATGGAGATTGTGGATGCATTGCTGGTAATCTTCCAAGAATTGTTAGATCTGGAGAAGTCACAGAGGATTGGAGAACTGTCAATGTATTATCCTACTCAAAAAGATAAAACAGGTAGCTATGGGCTAGTTATGGTAATGTCTGTAGTTGGGAAATAGTTGAAGTCTATTATAAATGATGTGATATACAATAAAGCAGGATCAACATGGCTTCATGAAATCATATCTGGCAAATTTATTTGAATTCTTTGAGGAAGTAACAATAAAGATAGATAAAGTGGAACCAGTGGATATATATTTGGGTTTCCAAAAGGCATTCAATAAGGTACGACACTTAAGGCTACATAAAATAAGAGCCCATGTTGTAGGTTTAGGCTATAAGCTTTCATAGAGGATTGGCTAACTAATAGAAGACAGTTTTTTTATTTATTAATTTTGTGGTGTGTGGGTGTCGCTGGCTGGCCAGCATTTATTGCTCATCCCTAGTTGCCCTTGAGAAGGTAATGGTGAGCTGCCTTCTTGAACTGCTGCAGTCTACCTGCAGTGGGTTGACCCACAATGCCATTAGGGAGGAAATTCCAGGATTTAGACCCAGTGACAGTGAAGGAACAGCGATATAACTCCAAGTCAGGATGGTGAGTGGCTTGGAGAGGAACTTGAAAGTGGTGTTGTACCCATATATCTGCTGACCTTGTCCTTCTAGATGAAAGTGGTCGTGGGTTCGGAAGGTGCTGTCTGAGGATCTTCGGTGAATTTCTGCAGTACATCTTGTAGATAGTACACACTGCTGCTACTGAGCGTCGGTGGTGGAGGGAGTGGATGCAACGCAAATCAAGTGGGCTGCTTTGTCCTGAATGGTGTCAAGCTTCTTGAGTGTTGTTGGGGCTGTACTCATCGAGACAACTGGGGAGTATTCCTTCACATCCTGAATTGTGTTTTGTAGGTGGTGGACAGATTTTCAGGAGTCAGGAGGTGAGTTACTTACCGCAGTATTACTAGTCTCTGACCTGTTCTTGCAGCATCCGCAGTTCTTTCGGTTTTTATCTTGCAGCCACTGCTTTTATGTGGTGAGTCCAGACGAGTTTCTGATTAATGATAACTCCCAGAATGTTGCTAGTGGGGGATTCAGTGACAGTAACACCATGTCAAGGGGCGGTGGTTAGATTGTCTCTTATTGGTCATGGTCATAGCCTGGCATTTGTGTGGCGCAAATATTACTTGCCACTTGTCAGCCCAAGCCTGGATTTTGTCCAGATCTTGTTGCTTTTAGACACAGATTGTTTCAGCATCCCAGGAGTTGTGACTGCCGCTGAACATTGAGCAACCGTCGGCAAACATCCCCACGTCTGACCTTATGATGGAGGGAAGGTCATTGATGGAGCAGCTGAAGATGGTTGGGCCTATGACACTACCCTGAGGAACTCCTGCAGAGATGTCCTGGAGCTGAGATGACTGAGTTGGAATGGGGAGCGGAACGTTTTCAGAATGGCAACTAAATAGTGGAGTGCCACAGTGATCACTGCTGGCACCACAATTATTTACAATGTATATTCGTAAGTTGGATGAGACGCGTTAATGTATTAGTGGATTGGATGACACAAAAGCAGATGGGAAGGCAAATGGTAAGAATGATACAATGAGCCTACAGAGTGACTCATCTTGCCATATCATTCAGACACAGGGATCATAATTTTGATGCCTGCATTTCCCCAAAATAAGAATCTATAAGCCAACATGCTCATACAGCATTTCTCTGTTACATTCTTAACACATTAATTAGTCTGTTTATTTTTAATTGTGGTAACTCCACCACATGTATAGAGGAATATCATATATTCAATATTATTAGTCATATCTTCTAAGCAATATATCTCAAAAGTTAAAAATTACAAATCTATATGCACAAAATAGGCTTTAACACCTACATGAAACATTCATAACATTTCGATTGTGTAATATTAGCTACTTGGTCAAAGTTCTGAAATCTAATTAGTGTACAATTATACCCATTTCCAGAAAGAAACTCCTCACGTAAACAGTTTGTTTCTGTGTTGTATAGGTCTTGTACACGTAAAAGAATATCCTTTTAGCTCCAACTGCCAAAGTTAGTCCGCAACTGATAAACAACGACAGCTTACTCTCTCAGCTATACCCACCTCGGCTGGTGAGATCTCAAAGACCTCTGCGATTTTAGTGTACAGTTCCTTAACATTGGTGAAGCCTTCAATCCTGCCAGTCGGACTGCCATGAGCCAGCTGTGTGTGAAATATCAGTCTGGGCTTAATCCGTGGAGCAGGAGGGGGAGGAGGAGGTGCAGGATCAGGAGGAACCCCAGAGTCAGCTGTACTCTGCTTTTGTCCTTGCACCATGGGACGCCTTTGATTTTCATCAGTCACCCCGTTCTCCATCAGCCTGTTCTCTTCGAGTTTTGCTGCTTTTTTACATTTTCTCCTCGACCCACGCAGCATCTTTGTCTGGAAAGTAGTATTGCCTGCATCTGAATTAAAGATGACTTTGCCACACATTGAAAGCGTATGTGGGTAACATGAGAGCTCCAAGCATAAAACCTTATACTTATCTGACTAAGTAATCTCATTACTGTAAAAAGAGATGCTACAATATCCCTTCATTAGAAAGTCAACTGCAGTTCTAATTGTCAAACAGCAAGCTTGAAGCATTGGAGTAAGTTTTGCCAGAGAGTGCAACTGCATTCTGACTCAGAAGCAACACCTCTGCTAATGTATTGAGCTTCAAAGGCAACTTCTGTCTTATTTACCTCAGGAATTTCACTGAGATACCTGGAGAAATTCAATTACCAGCCAGTTTCATGTGGCAACATCCATGCTTGTATGTGTAGATGGTTCTGCCATTATGACAGGGGTAAAAGGAGCTGAGAGGGAAACGATTTAATCAGAATTGGTTAATTTGCAGTGGCTTTGCTTTAAAGAAGAAAGTACACATTGCAGGAATTATTTAGAATGTAGCATTTCTCATTTAATAGATTCCACAACTTCTTAATTAAAAAAAAGTTCTGATTCTTTTTAACATCTTGAGATTAAGTTACTTGACATATTGCCCAGTTAACTTTCTTTTCACCACAGCAACGAGAAGACTGCTTCAAAACACAACCCACATCCAAGCAGGTTTTGAATGAGTGGGTAGTCGCTCATCCTCTGCAATAGTAAACAGCCCATCAGTTTATTAACTCCAAGGCCTCACTGTAAATCCTTGAGACCCACCTCATCCTGAATGTGAGAGAAAGGGGAGGAAATGGCCACTAGTCAATATGTAATCAGGTGAACCACAAAAGGCAAGTTAAGTGCGAGTTAAGTCTTTACAGCAGATAATTCCCGAAGTGGAAGGTCAAAATCCAGGGAAGACAAGGCCTCATCATCCTCCTGGACTTAACGAGTAAGGTGAAAAAAGAAACTGAAAAGGTTTCTCATGGTTTCTGATCTCCTTGTCATGGGCAGAAAAGTGAGACTTCCTTGTTCAGGTAAGTGTTAGAATAGCAATCAAGGCCTGGCAATGTAACTTACCATTATCTGCAACAACTTTCACTGGATTCAAGTTGGTCATCCATCAGATGTCCAAATTAAAATCATGAGTGGTTCGGGTGCTAGACAGTTCTACTTACATATTTGTTGTACTTTTATGCCAATCTTGTTTCACCATTCGAAATTTGAATAGCAATATTATAGACAAAGCAATCTTAAAATGAGATCTGGGATGGGAAAATTCCCTTACATATCCAAATAATGCAGGTAAAGAGTGAAAATAATGAGCAACTTGAAGAAAATGCTTGCTTACAACAAAATAAAGTTGCAATAGACTAATGTTCCATTCACTGGGACTGTTGAAGATGATTACTTTACCGTCCTTTTTTCTCAGAATTGTGCTGTTATTGATTTGCTATTTTACAAAAATAAATTTAACAAGAAACGATCTGTTGGATTGTGCTATAATCATTGAAGCCCTTTGAGGCCATTTGTTCCAACTTGGAGGCAAAATGGCAGCAAGGTAACACAATACTAAGATTGTTTTAACTGTTATCAGGTTATGGCTATAATATTACTGTAAAAGGATATGATAATGTTCTCAGTGAATAATTTGCAAACTTTTATTAGATCCTGGTTACATTTCTGCATTGATATTGGATCGTTACATTCCTTGAACTAGCCATGGTAATCATGAATGAAAATACAATCTTTGTTTTGTATTTTAATGCTTTCCTTATTATTTCTGAGAAACCTATGGCACTATGAATCACTAGTGCAATTCAGTTTAACAATATCATTTGGTTCATGCCATTTAAACTAAATGACAATATTAATAATGTATGTAGAGATTTGTTCGCTTGCTCTGGCACTCCTCCTGACTTCATCAAACCTTTTTCTTAATTGTATCTGGGCCCTAAGGGCATGCAATACCTCATTTACCTTCTCTACAACTTCTATAATTGTGACTTCAACACCTATTTTCACTAAAAGGTAGCAGACTATACAAAGAATTCTTCTTCCGGGTATGTTATAAGAATCTGATAATTGATACAAATTTATGAGGTTCCAAAAGGGTGCCCACAATTTACTCTTTTCCACACAAGAACTTAAGGGTTCAGAGCAGGAGTTGGCCACTTGGACCCTTGTGTGTGCTCTACTATTTGATCATAGTTAATCTTTTTTTTTCAAGATTGCTCATGGGATGTTGGTATCACTGGCAAGGCCAGTGTTTATTGCCCATCCCTAAGTGTACATCAGGATGCAGTGTTGCGTTGTCTTCTTGAACTACTGCAGTACTTGGAGTGTGGGTACACCCACAATTCTGCTGGGAAGGGAGTGTTATGGGCGAGACCAAACCCTCTCAAAATATATTAAGAAGATAGTCTAGACCCTAACTTTTTCTCACTTCAAAGGTTAGTGTAAGGTGTTGCATACCAGATGCAATTCATTGGTCAAACTACTTGATTTTAAGCAAAACACACTTTATTTTTGCACTACAGTTAAAGTGCAGACAAACTATATAAAAAAAACAGAAGTGGCTAACTGTAATGCTATCAAAATGCTTACCAAAACAATATATAGTAACTTTTATTAATTAATTGTTTCAATATAGTAACATCCAATAAACACAACCTTGGCAGATGCAAATTCAGTAAAATAGATAGTTTCACATGCAATTCTAGCAGCAGGAAGAGAACCACAGCTTTTAGCTGTAAATGAGAGAGGAATTAGAGCTTCCATGTCCAGCTTCAGGACCCCAGCAAAAGCTAAAAGGAACAACTAAAACTCCTGGTTTTATGGGAGCTTAACCCCCACCCATTCAGGCTGCTTCTATTGTTTCAACTTAAAAAATACCCATGGCCTCACAAGTTGTTTACTCTATTGGCTTTGAGCAGACTATTCACCAACTCTGTCTCAATCTTTCTTCATTAAAAAAAAAACCAAGACAAAGTATAACTCTTAAATCCATAGTATTGTCATATCTCCCCCCTTAAAGAAATGAACCATCAAAATACAAAGATCTCTTCATTTTTAAAAGCCTTTAATCTTACTCTATTTGTACACTACAATACATATACATTACATTGACACTAAGCATGCAAACATTTACTACTACAATCCATTTCAGTCCATTTTCTTTCCCACCACCGAACGCCGCTGTCTTACTTCATCAAAGTCGTGACAATTTGTTGGCAATTGCATTCCCTCATCCTGCTACATGTATAATTTACAAATTGAATGGCTGTGATAATAAGCTCCACCTAAACATTCTTCAGTTTTTTTTCTTTAATTTTTTCCAAAACTTTTAAGGGATTATGATCAGTATATCCAATTGTCTCAGACACATTACTGGCAATATAAATGTTGAAATGTTGCAATGCCAACACCAAACTCAAAGTCTCCTTCCCAACTGTGGAATATATCTGTTGATGATTATTCAATTTTCTGGAAAAATAGTCGATAAGTCTTTCTGTCTTCTTGTCATCTTCTTGCAAAAGTACAGCATTGACAACCACATTACTCACATCAATAGCCATCTTGAATGGCTTTGTGTAAGTTGGAGTGGCTAACGCCTGGGCAGTCATTTAAACAGGTTTCAGGCTGTCAAATGCCTTCTGACATTCCTCTGTTCACTGAAATTTTCTTCATTTCCTTAACAAGTCAGTCTGTGGAGCAACTATGCTAAAATTTGTTACAAACTTCTGATAAAAACCACTCAGTCTCAGGAATCCTGACTTTAAAATGGTACAGTCCATTCAGCATCACAAAAGCAAAAATTTCCTCCACTCTTTCAGATAAAGTTACTCGCCAGTATCCTCTAGTAAGTCCAACTTTGTAATGCAAGTTGCTTGTCCTATCTCTCAATATAGTCTTTCAAACATGGAGTAGGATACGAATCAGATTTTGTAACTGTTTTGACGTTGTGCTAGTCCACATATAATCATCAGTTATCATCTGGTTTTGGCACCAATACCATGGGTGAGATCCATTCACTGCAACTCAGTTCGATTATATTGTCATTGAGCATGTGTTCAATCTCTTTTTGAATCTACCAATTTGAGAGTGTTAGGTCTGTAAGGATATTGCTTAATTGGAACAGAATTTTCTATACCAATATCATGTGTAATTAGATTAGACTTCCCAGTTTATTCCCACATATCTTCCCTTGTGATTCAAACAACTCCTTCAGATCATTACAATTTTCCTCTGGAAAGTAATTCAATAATTTACCCCAATGTCTGAGAACTTCCCCATTGTCCAATTTAACTTGAGGACTATCCAATTCAGAATCATCCGAACTTGGTTCTTTGCTCCTTTTGCTTTCCATCCTTATCAAAATACCTTTTGAGCATATTCTCATGACACATTCTGTGAGATTTCTTTCTACCTGGCGTTCTTATCAAATAATTCACTTCACTCAATTTCTTTTCAATTTGATAAGACCCAGTAAACCTTGCCTTTAAAGGTTCACCAAAACTGGGAGTAACACTAGTACTTTATCCCCACGAGCAAAATAATGAAGTTTTGATCACTTGTCTACCTCCTGTTTCATCACATGCTGTGCTACTTTTAAATGTTGTCTAGCCTAAATCACCAGCTGTATTTAATCTTTCTCTAAAATTTGACACATAGTCCAAATGTGTGGTGTTGGAACTCTGACTCACCAATTTCTCCTTAATTAGTTTCAGTAGTGCTATCACCTCATGCACAAGAACTAATTTAAATTGACTGAATTTAGTTGATTCATTGGGTGCATCCCTAATTGCAAAATGTACAAATGAAATTCCTTTATCCAAATCCTCTGGATAGTCTTGACTATGAAACCCGAACATGGTCTTTTAAAGTTTGATACCACTGTTGTAATGCTCCCTGCAATTCTAGGTAGAATGCAATGGATTTCAATTGTTTTATTCCTCAACTATCCATAACTTCCTTGAATAATTTTGATGTAAAAATTAACCCTTGATCCAATTGTATTTCTGTTGGCAGTCTGTATATAGTAAAATATTTGAGTAACTCTTCTACAATCCTTTTAGCCATGATGCTGCGTAATGGAATGGCCTCTGGAAATCTAGTGGACACATCATTATGGTCAATAAATACTGATTCCCACTTATTGTTTTAGGTAGGAGTCCTACACAATAAATTAAGATTCTTGTAAAAGGTTCCTCAAATGGGGGGATGTGATTTAAGGGAGGTGGTTTTATCACTGCATGAGGTTTTCCAATTACCTGACACAAATGAAATGTCCAGCAAAAGTCAACCACATCCTCATGCAGTCCAGGCCAATAGAAATTTTATTTTCTTTTGGCTTGAGTTCTCCTTACTTCCAAATGGCATTCTACTGGTAAGTCATGTACTACTCGCAACATCCACCAGTCATACAACTTAATGAACTTCTGCCCACTTCTCATCCACCTGAATATGTGATGGCGTTTATTTCCTCATCAAGGCATCATTTTTAAGATAGTAACATTCTGGGATACACTCAGATTCTTTTTCAGTGTATGCTTTTTGACACAACTGTTTTAGTTTTTCTTCTTTCTGTTGTAATTCAGCTAATTTCTCTGAAATAAAAATATCCACTTCTCCTCCATCTATTCTTTTGTTTTCTCAACCATTTAATCAAACATAGTTACTGATAATTGAACTTCAACTTCCTTATCTTAATTCTTTGAATTCTCATCCTGTTTTCAACTGAGGTTTTGTGACGTTGTCACCACACAGTCAGGAAAACTCTCAGGACATACTTTCTGTAAAACCTTAGTTGTCTGATTTTCCACTGGTTTTTCAACCACAGTAGGCATCACTACCACCTGTGACCAAGCTATATCATTACCAAGGATAAACTGTATTTCTGTAACTGAGAATCTCTCTTTTACTTCCATCACCACTTCACCACTTTTCACTGCATTCTCTAACCTCACTTTATATAATGGACCACACTGCCCTTCTCACCATGAATTCCACACATCACCACCTTTACTGGCAATACTCCTTCTGAATTACATATCGTCTCATCTCTCACCATGAAAAATTGACTTAATCCCATTTCTCTTAAAATCTTAATTTCTTTAAGTACTCCTCCTGGCATACATGAGTAAACCTTACCCATGCAAATAAATTATTTAAAGACATCTGGCACTTTCTTTTCAACCAACTCTGATCAGGTTGTACATTTTTTTCAGCTTTTTAACTTCCATTGTGCTTTCCTTTACCACTTCAACAAACCTCATCAAAAACTTATCCTGTTTTCCCACATTCATCTTCTCAGTGCCTTTTCTAAACCACCAACACTGCGACTTCGTGTGGTGTATTTTATTACAGTGAAAACATCTAAGCTTCTTTACTTCTCTTTCTCCCTCATGGGTTTCCTTTTTACCCTGTGGTAAACTAGTTTTACCACCATCAGTGCGATCTCCTTTTCCCTTACCACCTGAGGATTTCACTTTTCTCCAATTTCTGTCCCTCATAGATTGAAATTGATGTTGGAAGCCAAACTTTGATTTTTGAACCAACTCATAATTATCATAAAATCTCGCCACCCCCGGCCTCATCCCATGTCCAACCCTCCCTCTCATCCCTGCCTGCTTGACCTGACACAATCTGTCCATTTTCTCTCCCATCTATCTGCCCCTCCTATCTCACTGACCAATCCCCACCACCACTCCTTACCTGTACTCACCTATCACCATCCCACCTACCTTCCCCAGCCCCAACCCTCCTCTCTCTATTTATTTCTGAGCTCCCTTCCCCCTCCCCATTTTTGAAGAAGGGTCCTCCCAAAAAGTCAACTTTCTTGCTCCTCTGATGCTGCCTGGCCTGCTGTGTTCCTCCAGCTCCACTCTGAGTTATCTCTGACTCATCAGCAGTTCTCGCTATCTCTACATCTTTCTTGTCAAACTTGAGCAACACTTGGACATATTTAAACAGGACACTCCCAGGCCTTTGGGTACAATGGGACTGCTCTCAGTCATTGTCCTCATCACTACTCCTACATTTCATCTCTAACTCTGCCATTTGATGTTGACTTTGAGTCTTCAGTTCCAACCTCCAAAGTTCAAAAGCTTTCTCTTTCTCCCTTTCTTCTCTCTCTCTTTCTCTCTTTCTTCTGATAGCGCCATCCTTTCATTTTCCTTTTATGTTGCCAGGGCTATTCTTTCCTTTTTTCTCCCCCTGTGAGAGCTAATGTCTCTTTCTGCTTTTCTTCTGCTTTAAATCATAATTCAAACTGTTTCATTTACTTACCATATTTAAATTGCCTCATTTTTAATTGAATTTTAATCATTTCCTAAGATTCCAGTGGCATTTCCAGCCATTGTAAATGTCGAGCTATTGCTGCAATTACCCTTCCTTTTCGCATGGACAAAGGCAACCCCAGCTCCAGCTTATCTACCAATTCCAAATGCTTTGCCTTGCTCACTTTCTGTAAACTCCTGAAGTGACTTCTTCCAGTCCCAGGAAAATCTTATTGAATAAAAGAGCCATTATTACACAAGGTACACCCAATTTAAACCAAACAAATTCAACCCCCGAAAAGAGAACACCAACACTCACCACTCTCTGCCTTTGAGTCCAATAATCCGAAACCCGATCTCAATTAGAGATTTGATCCCAAAAAGAGTCCCCAGTTTGTTATGGACCAAGCCAAACCTCCTCAAAATATATTAAGAAGATAGCTTGGACCCTAACTTTTTCTTATTTTAAAGGTAAGTGTAAGGCTTTGTATTCCAGATGCAAGTTGATTCGTCAAACTACTCAAATTGAAACAAGCCATAATTTATTTTTTGCACTGCAGTTAAAATACAGACAAAATAAAAAGAAAAGAATTAGTTTAACTGTAACTTATCGAAATGCTTAACAAAATAATATATATGAACTACTATTAATTAACTGTTCCAATATAGTAACATTCGATAAACACACCCTTGGCAAAGGCAAATTCAGTAAAATAGATCATTTCACATGCAATTCTAGCAGCAGGAAGAGAACCCCAGCATTTAGCTGCAACAGAGAGAAGAATACGAGCTTCCACATCCAGCTTCAAGACTCCAGCAACTGCTGAAAGCTAAACCTAAAAATTCTTGTTCTGTGGGAGCTTAACCCCACACATTCAGGCTACTTCTACGGTTTTAACTTTAAAAAAAGGCAAAACCGACAGCCTCACAAGTTGTTTACTCTATTCGTTTTGAGCAGACCATTCACTAACTCTGTCCAAACCTTTCTTCCTAAAAAAAATACAAAATACACCTCTTAAAGCCATAGTATTGTCACAGGAGTTCCACAATTTTGATCCAGTGACAGAGAATGTGCAACAATATAGTTGAAGTCAAAGTGTCATTACTTGATTAAGGCTTCAATTTCACTTTTCTATCTACTTCCCATAACCTCTGACTCCCCTGTTGATCAAAAAAATTGATCTGTTTCAGCCTTGAGCATGTTCAATAATTCAGTCTCCACTAATATTTGAGGCAAACAATTCCATAGACCAACAGCTGTCTGAGAGAAAAAAAACTATTCTCATCTTAGTCTTAAATGGAATCCTCATTCTTTTGTAAAATAACGTTTTCAGTTATATTTTATGAGTAATTGAAGATATGACAATATCACACATGTTAGCATGCTTGGGGGAAAACAATTTATTTTGGAGCCCTGGTTCCTAAGGTTTTGCAAAACTGATGTTATAGACCTTGTGTTATAGACAAATGGCTGGATTGCAATGATTAAGTCAATATGTTATTATCATTGTATATGTGACTAGTGACTAAACACCATTTATTATTTAAAGGCAAACAAGAATATTCACTACTCTACAAATATACATTGAATGTATAGTGTGCTGACAGCAACCCAGCTTTAGAAAAGGGTGCACTACCTGCAATGCTTGAGACTCAGTTTCCGTAGTTTAAGATAATTTGGAAATTAAGTTTTGAAAGTAACACAATTTACTTTTCTGTTGACATTTGGCAAAATAAGAAACCTTCAGAATTAAAAAGTCCGTAGATTCAATGCAAAAATCTTCCGACTCTGCATTTTTGCAGCTCAGAAGAGATACGTTTTATGAATGTGAGGATGTACAGGAAAAGCGGGTTTGATTTCACGTTACGATAGTCAATATTGCAGCAATGACACCCTAAAGAAGTTTCGCTCATAATCTCAATAAGTGTATTCATTGGATGCCATTGAAACCACGGCAACCAGAGCACAGGAAGCTTTTGCACCAACAGAAGGCTCGTTCGGATGGTTGAAAACGGGCCTCGTTTTTATGGTTCCGAAAGAAAGTCATCTTCACAAGCAGCAAGCAACATGGAAGACGCTGAATTATTTCAGGAGGGATGCAGGGGCCTCTATGAACAATTTAACTTCACACAAGAACTGCGGCCAACAAATTAGCAAAAGGCAGTGAGAACATTTTAAATGTGAAGCATAAGGTTCCAGCCACAGACAGGAAACAAAAGGGGAATCTGAATAACTGCCCCAATTTGTGCTCGCTTCCCCCACCCCAGCCTCCATCACCTGGATGATAACCCTGATAAGTGGTTTATTTATAGACAAGGAATTCCAGGGTTGCAAGATTTTCTTCTTGGCACTGAAGATTTTAAAACAAAATGACAATCTTCAACAGTTCCCGTTAATCTGCTCACAAGAATTATTCGCAATCAGCTTCAATTCAGAATTCTAATGTACAAAAGAAATCTCATCAATGTGAGAAAGCTCGCCATCGTTTTCTTCTTTAATTGGAAATGGGTGTCGATTGAAGAAGTTTCAAATGGAAAGTGATTATTGCAACATTCCTCCACAGCGTTGCAACATGTCAACAGGGATGACAACAGGTTCACGGCACAGAGCATTACACAGTGACATTTCATCCCAGTCATGTATGGTGTCTACAAAAGAGAAGCCGCAAGGTAATGTATCTTCTGCAAAAAATAGTGCCACGAGAAAAAGACAGCAATTTTTTAGTAATCCTAACCCTTGGAAAGATAAAATGAACAGCTCTGAATCTCCTAAGAAGGGTAATAGAGGACCCTGCCACTCTGTACAATATGGCAATCCTCAGCGAACTCTGTTAAACACTAAACAACAACACAGAACAGCGACCATCAATAATACTGCCAACGGCAACTTTGAGCAGGTGTCAGATGAAGACAGCGTTTATGAGAATTTGGATACATATTGGCATCAGGCACGCTTTCAGAGATGTAATGATAAAACAGTCACCTACACAACTCCATCTGAACTTTTCGTTAGTGAAGAGAAAAGAAAGACACTGAGTAAAACCCAAATGCAGATGGCAGATTCTTCAAACCCACAGCCACCACCGCTCCCTGTAAAGTTTCGAAGGTATTGTGCTCAGGCAAATTCATGCCATATTTATTAAATAAGTATTTGTACTGAAATGCCTAGTGCTATCTGTTAAATACGTGGCGTGTCTTGATCTTTCCATATACCTGTTAGCCATGGAATTCAATCTGCACTATTTATTACGTGAATGCTATTAATTATTCTAAAATATAGAATGGTATGCAACTTCCATCATTCCCAATAGAGTGAACATTTTCTAATACGGATTGTTTTGATTTAAGGGAAATACCTAGCAGTCTCAGCTCAGTGATAAAGGTTGTGTTCCTGAGTCAGAAGTTAATGCTTGAGCACATAAGGTGATTCAGCACTTTATTAAAATAGTGCAGCACTATTAGGGGTGTTATTTTTCAAACAGTGGCAAACTTACACGATAGAATGCTCGTTCTGCCTTGCCTGAAGAAAAGGCTGGGAGCTTTCTTGGTTCTGGTCAATTAACAGACTAAAACATTTGGTCATTTTGTCACTTATTTAATTGCTGTTTGTGTAATCTTGTTGGGTGCACTTTAATTGCAATGGGTGGAATCTTATAGGGGTCTGAGCAACATGTGTCATGACAAGATTTGTGGCAGATTCGGACGAGAAGTCGGGAGAGGTCTTTCCTAACATCTGAAGCATCTTGCTCCACTTTTTATGCTTTAGCCAAGTAGCTCGGCAAGTTTCTCGCCACGCAGCAGTGAGTATCCAAATGAGGGGACTATTGCTTATCAAACACCTCATTAGTGCCACAACTTGACTCATTAATATTCAGATGCCTATTTTACCAAACTCACCAAACAAGTTAGACATCGGGAATTCTCAACATTGAAATCAGAGTGGGTACCTGGCAATTTCAGCTCGCCACTTACTTTAGAGAAGCTCCTTATTAGATGCTAGGCATCAATGTTTCAGGGAATGCTCCATGAGCACTAGCCCCATGCATCCCACATTCACAGTCATTGGTATCCAACATGTTTCAGTCTCCAAGAACTCTCATTTCCAATCCACAGACAGAACACATCAGTACTTCAATGCTGTATCACTGTAATGTTGCTGAAAGGACACTGTATGCTCAAGGACACAAACCTGGACAATACTGTAGCTCAAGGCTATTCACATTCTGTCTTAGCACTGACTCACTCTAAGCCTACCCAAATGTTTACAGCATCCCTTCCTTGCATAGCCTTGCCCTGCCTTTTGTACCCTACCTGCTCAGCCAGAGCTAACCAGGCTTATAACTCTGCTACATTTCCGTTCTGTTTAGCCCAGATCCGAAGCTGGGAAACTTGTCATGGTCAACAGCAGGCCTCAGTCAAGTCAAGAGAAAAAGCTTTTAGTCAGGGGGACTTTTGGCCCAGTCAGTCAAGCACAGCCACCAATACAAACCCAGGGGCTTGGACACACTCAAGTGGGCTCTTGGGTTGAGGAGTGGCAGATAAAGTTTAATTTAGATAAATGTGAGGTGCTGTATTTTGGAAAGGCAAATCAGGGCAGGACTTATACACTTAATGTTAGAGTCCTGGGGAGTGTTGCCGAACAAAGAGACCTTGAGGTACAGGTTCATAGTTCCTTGAAAGTGCAGTCACAGGTAGACAGGATAGTGAAGGAGGTGTTTGGTACGCTTGCCCTTATTGGTCAGTGCATTAAGTTTAGGATTTGGGAGATCATGTTGCAGCTGTAAAATACATTGGTTAGGCCACTTTTGGAATACTGTGTTCAATTCTGGTCTCCCTTCTACAGGAAAAATGTTGTTAAACTTGAAAGGGTTCACAAAAAATTTACAAGGATGTTGCCAGGATTGGAGGATTTGAATTATAGCAGAGACTGAATAGGCTGCATTTTTTTTTTTCCGGAGCGTCGGAGGCTGAGAGGTGACTTTATAAAGGTTTATAACATCATGAGGGCCATGGACAGGGTGAATAGCCAAGGACTTTTACCCAAGGTGAGGGAGTCCAAAACTAGAGGGCATAGGTTTAAGTTGAGAGGTGTGAGATTTAAAAGGGACATAAGGAGCAACTTGCTTGCACAGGGATGAGCTACCAGAGGAAGTGGTGGAAGGTAGTATAATTACAACATTTAAAAGTCATCTGGATGGGTACATGAAAAGGAGGGGTTTAGAGGGATGTGGACAAATGTTGGCAAATGGGATTAGATTAATTTAGGATATCTAGTCAGCATGGACGAATTGGACTGAAGGGTCTGTTTCCGTGCTATACAACTCTATGACTCTAATCAGTCCAGGACCTACTCAGGGTGACCAGATCAGGATGTTCCCCACATAAGGAGTGAGGAACTGAATGTTGGGCAGTGCATCACCCATCTTTAAACTTTCTGCCGTATTGTGAGCTCTTTTGTACCTGGAATGAGAGGCAGGTAGGTATTGTGGTGGATTAAAGTGGTTGTCACAATTGTTACTTTTGATGTAGTTGGGAAGGCGTCCTAAGCAAGTGAGTAGGCAGTACAAAGGGCATTCAGGGTTAGTGGTGTCGGGCATGGGGGTGGGTGACAATGAGTCAGGGAAGATATTGTAGGCAATAGAGATGGTGATAGTGCAACAGCCTTGGTGAGAGGTGAGTACAGGAGTGGAGATATAGTGAGTTTGAGGCATCAGAGAGACTGTTATGGTATTTATGCTGATGGCGTCAGGGTGGAGGTGTTCGTGGTATTGATTTTCTGCCTTCAATGATCTGCATTTCTACAACAGCTCAGACTGCACTGACCCAGGTAGGAACCTCAAACCAGGCTGTTATACGTGGGCATCCGTGGTCCGTGAATGTCAGTGACTTCTGGAACACAATGCTGCGATTGGCATGCCGCTGTTGATTGCTGTGCATGGAAACTTTGGAGTGGCTGTAAAGAAATTATTGGTCCCATTTGTGCACCACCCTATCCAGCGGGACCTCCAGGTCCCTACCCTCAGAGTAGGGTGCCAAATTTCTCTTGTCTGCCTTGTCCATGAAAAATGCAGGGCAGCTAAGGACTTACAGGACTTGTCCAGGTGTACAATGGCCTTTTAAAGATGGCACAGGTACCAGGGATGCTGGGATATCCCAGCACTGATTTGTTGTTCCAAGAATGATGTGTCGTAAGAATGGCGCTAGAAGCAGATGAGAGGGACATCAGAGAAAAGAGGTAGGTAGTTAATAAGGTGAGACTGGGAAGATTTGGCAAGAAAGTGCTTGAGGCCTTGTGGCAAAAAAAACCCTCCAAAACCCTCAACACAACTGACAATTAGTCAAAAAATTTTAAGATTCATCTCAAAATTTCCTAAATTAGGTTTTTGGCATGTTGAGGTTTTGAATAGTGCCATATTAATGCAAATTTCTTCTTTACAACCCTTCTTTCTTTAAGAACATAAGCTCTTGGAGAAAGAATAGGCCATATGGCACTTCAAGCCTACTCTACCAGTCAAAAAGGGCACGGATGATTTGATCTTGCTCTCAATGCCACTTTCCTACCTGTTCCTTGTAACCCTCGAATCCCCTATAGTTCTCTGTCCCACAGTCTTGAACATATTTAACAACAGCTCTCTTGGATGGAAAATTGCGAAGATCAATGACTTTTCAAGAGAAGAAAGTACTCCTTTTACTCCATCTTAAATGAGAGGCCTCTTATTCTGAAACTGTACCACTTAGTGGTAGATTCTCCCATGAAAGAAATGACCTCAAGCTATCTAATCTATCAAGTGGAATCTTATTTGTTTCAATAATAGCAACTCACATTTGTCTAAACTCCAAGGAGTATAGGCAAAACTTGTTGAGCTATTTCTCATAAGATAATGCACTCATTCAAAGAATCAACTTTGTACACCTGCTGTGAATTGCCTGCAACATAAAACTGTCCCTCTTTCAATTTGGAGACTAAAACTGTACTCAGTACTCGAGGTAGCTCACCAAAGCCCTCTACAATTGTAATAAGACTTCCCTACTTTTATAGTCTATCCCCTTGCAATGAACACCAATATTCCATTTGCCTACCCAATTACTTTGAGGGCATCTTTTTGATATTTCATTTATAAGGACACCCAGGTCCCTCTGTAGTGCAGCATTCTGATGCCTCTTTCTGTTTAAATAATATTTTGTCTTTCTATTCTTCGTACCAAAGTGGATAACCTCAGATTTTCTCATATTACTTCACCTGCCAAATTTCTGCATAATCATTCAACATAATTACGTCCCTTTTCTGTCTCTTAGGGCCAGATTTTCACAGAGCCAGCAAAACCCCACAGATCTTTACAAATACCCCAACTGCAAAAATGTCAAATTCATTAGGGACGGCATGATGGCTCAGTGGTCAGCACTGCTGCCTCACAGTGCCAGGGACCTGCGTTAGATTCCACCCTCGCCCTCGGGCGACTGCCTGCGTGGAGTTTGCACATTCTCCCCTGTGTTTGCGTGGGTTTCCTACCACAGTCCAAAGATGTGCAGGCTAATTAGATTGGCCATGCTAAATTGCCCATAGTGTTCAGGGATGTGTAGATTAGGTGGTTTATAGGGTGATGCGTCTGGGTGGGATGCACTGAGGTTTGGTGTGGACTTGCTGAAGGGCCTGTTTCCACACTGTAGGGATTCTATGATTTAATAAATTAAAAATTGGAGAAAGGGGTGCGGGGAATATCAATCACACAGGAGGGAAACCCAACCTCAGTTGGGAATTTGAATTTTGTGCTGAATTTACACAAATCCCTTTTTGGCAGCTCTAAAGACCCTGACCCACAGTGTGGAGGTCAACATTTAATGGAGTAGATGCAAATACTCATGAATGGTGGGTAAGGTCTATTTAGATGCCATGATCTGAACTTCTTAAAATGCCTTTCTCTTTACAGTTGGGAAAAATACACACTTAAGCTGTCAGTGAGAGTTAATAAAAACACCACATGCAGGACTGCTTTGATTTGCAGGCTAACTGTTGAAGGTTAAAAGCTAAATTACCATCTGGTCATGCAACTTCAATAGAGCTCTTTGTTGGCATTTCCAAAGGATTATTATTCTGTCAAATGAATA